CCGAACAATATGCAGGATGGTGCAGTTACCCATGATTCCAACAAGGTACAGGAGACAGAATGGAATGGATATCCAGTGGTGGAATTCCTCATAGCCAGGGATACCTGAGAGATAGAATGTGGAGGACAGGGTATTACTGGAGTTTAAGGTTGTCATAGAGCTCGCTGTTAAACCACAATCCATTTTCAGGATCGTTCCAGTGAGGAAGGCAATGATAAGATCAGCATCTGAGTCAGGAAAACAAAACAAAACAAAACAATGAAACTTCAGTACTTTCCTATAAGCACTCTTGAATTCATCCCCAAATTTGTGCTTTTTCTTTCTATATTTCACTGCTGAGTATTGTTTGTTAAGTAAAATATCTTCTTTATAACCACAAGGAGATTCCCTCCTGCCCCTCAGATGCAGACTCCTTGACATTCTCTCAAAATATGGACAATCTTCTCCTAAAGACACAACCCAGACCAGTCCACACACAATCTGATCCAGATTACATTCTTCATTTTATAATTTTCCTCTAGAATTTTCTTGCCAACCACTACCGATATTTTTTTGTAAAAGTGTTTCTTTCTTTCTTTCTTTCTTTCTTTCTTTCTTTCTTTCTTTCTTTCTTTCTTTCTTTCTTTCTTGAGAGAGACAGGGAAGGGAGGAGCCCAGAGAGACAGGGAGAGAGAGAATCCAAAGCAAGCTCCTTGCTGTCATTCCAGAACCCAACATGGGGCTTGATCCCAAGCACCCTAAGATCATGACCTCAGCCTAAATCAAGATTTGGATGTTTAACTGACTGAGCCACTCAGGCGCCCCAGGGCTACTGATCTTAACATTAGTTCTATTTTTTAATGATTTCTGCTGTGATTTACACACAATGTCTTTTTCTGCCTAAGCTTCCCAGCTTTTTCAATGATACTAGAACACCATATGTAGTTTCTTTACAGAATTCAGGCAAGTATGGGTCAGCAGCACTTATTACCGTAAGCAGGTCTTACTAACATATCCACAGTTAAACCACATATAATTGAGGCCACATGCTTGGTCTGGAATTAGCAATCCCAGGAACTAAACATGGCTTAAAGTAGACTTAATTAAAACAATTTTGAATTTTAAAATTATAATAATGAACTATGTAATTTTTATGTGTAATTTTCTTACTGTAATAAAATATGTAATTTAAGCAAAGTATAGCTGCCTCTGACTCTGATTATAAAGATTCACAACCTTCTTTCTATTATGCTTCAGATCTGATCAGTCATTTAGAGAGTGGTACCTTGTACAAAAAAAAAAAAAA